GGCGGCGGCGGAAGCGGTAGCGGGGGCGGAAGCGGCAGCGGGGGCGGAAGCGGCAGCGGATGCGGATGCGGCAGCGGATGCGAGAGCGGGAGCGGTCGCGACTGCGGCCGCGGCCGCGGCCGCGCGGGCAGGGGCAGGCGCGTCATCACAGCTACCGCGCACGACGGCAGGAGGTGCCGCGGCCCGCGGAAGGCAAGAGAAAAGCACGAGGGGGGGTTCACAGGGTGATTCCGTCATCGTCCGCCGTCCTCCTCCGTTGACGACGGCAGGGATGGGGGCGGGGGTGGGGGGGTGCTCGACAGTAGTGGCAGCGGCAGCAGCTGCGGCAGCGAGGGCGATGCAGTTGCCATCTGCTTCGACGACCGTGGGAGGCGCCGCCGGGGGGGGAGAGGGCAGGGGATTGGAGGCAACAACGAGCAGCCCCTGCCGTAGCAAGGCCGTTGGAGCGACCGGGCATGACATGCCTACTGCCAACTATGGGGGGGCACGGTGCTTGCCTACCCGGCACCCGACCGTGGAAAGGACAAGAGCCCGTACTCCGCGAAATGCGGCGGAGGTCTCCACGTGGGCCTCGGCGATTGCGGAGGCCCAGCGACTGGTACCTCCGGACCAGGCGCGAGAAGAGGCGGTAACTCTGTACAACACGAAGTTCTATGAGCAAGAGTATACAGACGGCGCACCGCAGAACACCAGGGCGCCCACTTCAGTGGTGAAAACCAGAAAGAGATCGAGAGATGTGGCCAACAAGAGAGTGAGGGAAGATGTCGCCCACAGGGTCGCGGCCTTCAACCGTGCATCTCTCAGCACGAAGCCCCCCCCCCATAACAAAAAAAAATCGCAGCCGCCATGATGTGGCTGCTGCTCGAGCCAGGGTCGCCATTGGAACTCCATTGGGGCTTGAAGAAATCTGCAAGCTCACAGACACACAGGCTATCGAGTACTTGAATTCGATGGGGCTGCCAACGAGCGGGAAGAGGGACGAGAAGCGCGAACGACTCACGAACCGCTTCAGGGAGAGGGGGATAATGATTTATACCCCCCCGACCACGGCCACCGCTGTCGAAGCACCCGCTGTCGTAGCCCCCCCCACGGGACATGTGTCCATCTGAACTTTGAGGGAAAGTGTCGGTAGTTTCCTGGGGTCACTTTGGTGCTGGCGAGGGCGAAGCTCTCTTTGTAGGCGTATACGGGCTAGAGTGTAATGCTCTCCTGTTTTTTACCAGTACGAAAAGTGTTGTATGTAGCACATGGCACATCTTTGTCCTACACTACTACACTGTACTACTACACTGTACTACTGCACTACTGCTGTAGCCTACTCGTATCAGTCTACTTAGTGGGTACATCTCGAATGGGTAGTCTTTCTGTGTGCGCTTTTATTTTTCCTTTAGTCTATTTCTTCACAACACTTTTTTATTATTATTGTCATCATGTTTGGTGGGGAAGAGACTGGCGAATTGCAAGGAATGGTGGAGACAGGAAAAACAGTCTGGTGTGTGTGTCGATGAGACAAACACTCCTACACAACACATTGATTGATTGCCACATGTTACCTCCCTAGCCTCATTTTTGAGGTGAACATTCGACACGTACACGTGATAGCATACGGTTCGTGTGTGGAGTACAACGTATAACACCAATAATAGCTTTTGTACTGCAGTAGTAGTACTGCTGTAGCTGATGTATGCACATGCATTACAAACATAATCCAAACATACCCACCCAATGTCCGGACACCTCTCAACACGCACACATCACCAAACGCACATGCCCCTGTTCCAGGGTTGTCCTCCCTGCTACATGGACTATGTATATATAGACTATGCTGCACGGTATACGATACATACAGCCGCGGTGTCGTAGGCTGCTGCATCCGTTTGAGTAGACGCGAAACAACAAGAACGCTTGCTTGCACCAGCCCTGCTTCATCCTGCAATCTGTTATGGGCGCGCATCCATAATACGGGCACACAGCACACGGCTGGCACATAGAACTGCATATTCTGCGGGGCACCTCAGAAACGAACTGAATATTCCCAGACCCCAATGACTTGCTTTTAGTCTTGAGAAGGCCACCAGAATATACGCAGCCCGCCCAGAAACGCGGCGGGTTTCGCCACTACATGGACTGAATATGCCAAGCTCTGTGAGCGCAGACACAACACAGAACGAGAGAGGCAGGCGCCATCGTATGTCCAAATTTCCTGGAGGATCTTCCTGTGAGGCGTATCAAGAAATAAAGAGAGACCAAGAGCATGGCTGCTCGGGCTGCCGCAAGGCGGGGTCGCCCTGGTGATGTTTTTCAGGGCCCTGCGACCCAGCTTTTCACGTGTCATATGTGTTTCCGAACACAAAACCCGGGTGATCTTCGTACTGCCGTTCGGAGTGCGGAAAATCCAACCAAGTTTGACCACTTCTGCTCCACCTGTTGGCGATCCGAGGAGCAGCTCGAGCGCCGAGGAGCTCACAACAGTCACGGTACTCTGGAAGATCGCGCAGCAAGCCAGGCAACGGGAGGCGGTGGTGGTGGCAGCAGTGCAGGTGCGAGAGATTCAAATTCTTCTGCTTGTTCTCCTTCGTGTGAGGCGGGAGGGGCTTGCAGCGGACCCGTCGCGGAGGACGAGGACGAGGACGAGGACGAGGAAGAGGAGGACCTTGAGGATGAGGATGAACTGGAAGAGGCCACGGCTGGTGTTTGGCGAAATGACATCCTGCAAGTCGCGTTGGCTAGACACGCCAAGGCGGTACAAAGGTTTCTCCCGACAATCGCTCCGGATGGCCAACTGATCCCTGCGAAGACGCCCGCCGCCGCCGCCGCCGCCGCCGCCGCCGCCGCCGCCGCCGCTGCAGCTGCCGCTACCGGCAATTCGAAAGGGAAGGGGCCCGCCGCGAGGCACCCCTCACCCGCAGCGGTGGCTGCGGCATTTAGAGAGAAGTTCCCGCAAGCACCATTATGTACACCTGTAGAAGGTGTTGAGGCTCGTGCGCGTGCAGCGATGCACCCAACGGCAGCGACGGCGGCGATGAGCAGAGCAGCGACGGACGGGGGAGCGGATATGGGCGAGCTCCTGCGAGAGGCGGCCATGGCGGCCTTCGCTACCATCCACGTGGCCGTCGCTCTCTATGTGCACGAGGTGGTTTTCTTTGAAGAATTGGTCCGCGACCCACGCTTCCAGGCAAGTGTGTGTTGCTGATTTGTGGCGCGTAGTACACATTTATTGTTCGCCGTATGCACAGCAGTAGCACACGTTAAAAATTGCTGTTCAGTTCTCTAAAAGCACCGACAAGTTTTGTGTTTTGCTTGTTGCATTCTATCCCGCTTGTTTGTGTTCAGATAATATGGCCCCCACCTCCACCCCCCACAAAAAGAAATTAAGCCATGCACAAAAACTCGCTCGTGGTGCGGTGTGTTTAATTCTCGCACGGGAGCACCCCTTCTTTGGCAGTGTATAAGCATTGCACGGCACGTGGCACTTGTTTGTAACCAGAGTATCGTTTCTGTCATGTGCCCCCCTCAGGTGAAGACCAACGGAGGAGAAGTGGGAGTCAGGATGATTTGCCCATCGTGCTTGACGAACGAGTTTGTTGAGACTCCAGGAGTGTCGGGGAATGGCTTCCCCTCCGTGTCTAGTCAGAAGGTGAGCAAAGCGCCAAATACAATAGAACGGGACCACACAAGTCAACGCGATTCAAGTATTTGAGCTACGGAAACACAAGTTAGCGGCGTTGACTCCAACCTCATCCACATGCACTTTCTTCGCTTTTTCGTTGGCAGATACGAGTGGCACACGACATCCACGGAGTAGTGGTCCCCGTCTTCGGGAAGTATCGGTGTAAGAACCCAGCGTGCGCTTTGAATGTCCGGAGTGCTCGTCAATCGGCAGAGAAGGCCGAAAAGAACGGGGGACCGAAGGCTAGCGAGATCGTGTGGGACGATGCTGCCGTTACGTCGCACTGCAAGAATGGCGTCTCGTTCAACACAATGGATACTAGGTATGTGTGATTTTCATGTCGAAGAATATTGAAACCATTTGTGGACGCGGTGGTGTCTGTAGGTGACGTGTCGAGATATTGGTTGACAAGGCGCATGCGGGAGGAAACCGGAACGTGTGTCAAATTCGTTCATCCCATCCACCGACAAGTTTGACCTGCCGACATCTATCTCTCTGTCGATTTCGTAGGTACATGCAGTTGCTTCCTGCTGCGGTGGTGGCTAAACTACCGTACCGCTTCTTCAAGCAAAACGGCACGTCAGAAAGGCTGTTGGACATGGTTTCCGCAACGGAGGGCGATACGCCGGTACGCCCAAAGCTTGTGTTGTGTTGGTGGCTGCTGATCGATTTTGTGGCGGCAGTACCCCGAGCCCAGACATTTTGTGATGGAAGCATCCCGTGTCGCCGTCGCATGTCTCAGCAGACGTTGCATCTACCTTTGTTTTTGCGAAAGATTCCCAGTAGATAGATGAGAAGCCGTTGTGTTTGGGATTAACCCCGTCAGGGTCTCCTGCTACTTGTCCTTGGCTAGCTGGGCGGTGGAACGTTAACTTTCTCTTTCGTTGTTGACGTCTGTCAGGGTTTCCACCGGCTGCTAGTGGCACGCGAACAGGGACAAGAGCTGAGAGATATGCAGAGGTACATCCGATTCGCGGAGGAGGAGCAGGCTAGGGAGAGACGGAGTCGACTTGACGGGGAGTTCACCAAGTGGCCAGGATGGAGATTCAACCGCGGGACATTGATATCGACACCGTCCGTCGCCGTCTTGAACACCATCAACAAGGCTGCCCATCTGCAGGTATTGTATGCAGAGCTGACATCGGCCATGGCGTGCACGTTGCAAGAGGTTCGGAAGCGATGCTGTTGTTTCTGATGTTGAGAATGCAAGGCGAAACAACGACGTGTTGCAGATTTTTTTGGTTGACGGAAGAAATCTTGCGGGCGCGTTGTTCGATTGTTCGCAGGACAGAGACCACATGCTACGCGAGCTGATTGCCCAGGTAGCGGGGGAGTTCGTCAACTCAGACGGAACATTTCGCGCCGCCGGGAAGGTTATGAATGAGGCCCAGTGCCTGTATTTCCTGATGGGGGAGGATGCCAAGATTCTTGGGTACGGAGCCGTCAAGTCAGAGAGCGAGGAGGAGCTCACCCTTCTCTTCCAGAGGTGCGTGCGCCCCCTTTCAGGTCTTGGTCGAGCCTCATACTGAACCTGGCGTATTTCATTCAGTCAGAGAACGCATACGTATGTGCACAGGAGGTATCGCCAGCTCATGCGTTTTGTGGATGATCGAATTCCGCCCACAGGTACGCGGACAGGCGGAGGAAGAAGGGGACGTTGCATGCTCTGCGGTGGCTCTACGACGATCGCTGTTGCAGAGTTTGTAAAGACGTGACAAAGTACTATGGGGTCCAAATCTTCCCCCACGTGGAGCGCGCTCCACTTGCCGATTCGTTCCACGCAACCCAGGTGCGATGGACAAGTAATACGCGTTGGGACAGCCCCAGCCGTGCTTTCGCATGGTTGGGGTCTATGATGTGAACTTGGCATGGCGTTGGCGAAAAGCGCCCCGTGTTTCGGGTGTCAATAACGCCCGTGTGCGTGCAACGTCTGTGTACAATCCGTGCCTGCAACCCAAACCTTCGCAGCAGTATCAACGCTCAATTGCTTTTCAACTACTTTTCCCCCACCGCCTTCATTGCAGAATCTGGCGGGTGCAACCACTTCGAAGTCGCACGAGCGAAGGGGAGTGTATGCGAGGGGGGTGGGAGGATCTGTCCGCAGCAAATACAAGCCCGACGTAGACGCCATAGTCGAGTACTTGATGCGGGAAAACAAGAGGATGACAAGGGCGGAGGCTGAGCGTAAGGCAGAATCCAAGTCTATGAGTCGGTATGTCCGTACGGTTTCTCGTCCGATAGAAGAGACGATAGCTGAGGTTAGCGAGGTGGTGCGCTTGCACGCAAGGCTGGACGCGGAAGGACGGGAGAGGGGCGAGCTGCCGCTGCTGCAACCCGAGTTGCCGCCGGGGAAGAGAGGACCGCGTGGCGCACAGGCAGAGCTGAATAGCCTCATCTCTTGCCTCCGAAAGGGATGCGGGCAAGACCCGTTGCCCGTGGATAAAATGTAAGTGGTTGTCGTGG